TTTCGTCGCGAGTCACGACACCCGGTAGCAAGCCGCGACCCCCTTTACGCGAGTCAACACTCTATGTTTTTGGGCTTGTTTGGATCCGCATGAACTTGGGCTCTAACTCCGTTATCTCCTATGAGTAGCCAAAAAAGCCTTATTCGAAATCTAAATCGAATGACTTTCTGAAATTTATTTTCAAATGTTATTAGAATGACCAACTGACTTGTGGTTGGCTTTATATTGCGAATGAGGAACCGAATTGTGGTTCCCATTACGCTTATGTAAGCCGTAGAACGGTTGTCTGAAACAGTTTTGAAATATATACTTACATTTAACGATCAAAAAAAAAAAAAAAAAAATTATTAGATTAGTATTTTAAGATACTTTTGAGGTATTATAATAATTAGTATCAAAATTCAAATAGGACGTTCATAATTTTCTCAATATTTTTAATTCATCTACTTAATACATATATCTTTTTGTTCAATTGTAACCAAAGAAATATACTAGGCTTTGCAATCTGTTAACAGCGGCGTGGAGACCCCAACGCAGTAAAATAATTAGTGAATTGGATTGAGTTTTTAGTGAATTGGATTGAGTTTTCATTTGCTAACCGAGAAACGTTACCTTGAGCATCTTCAATGCTCCACTTTCAACATTAATTAAATTTGAATACATATCAATTAATGGACTAATGTTTAATTTACATTAATTGAATATTAAAAGAATAGGACTTTCATTTGAATTGTTACCTCCAATGCATCCATTCAACAACCATACAATTTGTATATGTGGATTTATTCATTTATTAATAAAGTAAAAAAGTATATTAGAAAAAAAAAAACCACAAATTTCAATAATTATATGCATGATGTTATTTTTTTTTATTCAGTTAATTTTTATTTATATCATCAAATTTATACAATTGTTATTTATTCAATAATTTCTCAGTTAAAATATGTATGACCACACAATAATATTTTTTTAATCGATTCCGAATAAAACCACAAAACATTAAAATTGCAAGAACTGAACAAACAAATCTCATGAACATAATATTTTACTTTTCATGATATTATTATTGATAATTTTTAAATTTTAGTTAGTAACTCATCAAATGATTCTACTGTATTCAAATAAATTCTCAAAAATTTTCTTGGATAAATGTAAGGGTGAGATTTTTCTAAGTTTATGAAAAGCTCAAAATATGTGTCAAATAATTATCAAAATGCTGAGTCATCATGTTAGAAAGAATGTGTGAAATTAGAAAGTGAGCTTGACAATGTTAATATTAATTGTTTACACATAAGCATGAAAGGATCCATAATCTAATGCATTGGAGGATAAATTATTTACACACTTTCTATCTAGATGAGGTGGATAACTTTTTACTCTTCCAAAAGAATGCATTAGAGATGCTCTAAGGGTGTGATTGTATATAGATTGAACTAGTTTTTAGTTGGTTTTTTTTAATCATATTTAATTAAAAAAATGATATAATTAGATGTTAAATTAAAATATTATTTAAAATAAAATATTTATAATTGATTTGATGTAAAAGTAAGAAAAAATGATTGGAAGTCATGGTTAATTAAATTATGTGAGTGAATGAATAGTGAATTAAAGTTGATGTAATGTGTAAGAATAATTGGTTGATATCATTTAATTATATTGATAATATTGGGATAGTTGAGTTGAGTTAAAGTTGAGTTAAATTTGATTTTTAATTAGTTGAGTTGAATGGATAAACAATTACACCCTAACTTATTTGTTTAAATTTGGTGAAAAGTTAGCTATAAAAGTTATGTTTAATTTGAATTCTTGAACAAAAAATCTTAATCACTTTCATTTTGAGCGAATATAGTGGTTATCATGCAAATGATTGGAACCGAGTCAAACAATTAATACCTTATTGAGTTAACTTTTTTCCACTGGCACTGAGAGCTTGATCAGGCTTGTTAAAACTTAACTAAACCCTACAATATTATACAAACACTTGAGGCTGAGTTAAATTTAAGGAGGATTTTGATCGATTTTTGGCCAAATTTAACCTGGGGTATTTGGATACAATTACAAATTTATTCGAGTGGCTCATCGATCAAGCTTACAAAATATATACAAGTTCTAGTTTGACTTGAGTTCAACTGAGGTGCTCCAGATCAACTCTACCTCGTTCAAACTCGAGCTTAAATTATACATTTTATTCCGCTAGTTATAAATTTTATACCCAAATTTTTATTTCCCTACCTTACATAAAATAAGAAATTCATTTCTGCAGCCATATCATGAGTTAGCTGATAGGTGTCACAAGTATAGCATTTGGGGGAAAAAAGCCATATCATGAGTTAGCTGATAGGTGTCACAAGTATAGCATTTGGGAGAAAAAAGAAAGACAAACCTGACGGTTCTAGAGCTCTCAACTAGGGCTGTACACGAGTCGAGCAGTTCACGAGCCGCTCGCGAGCGCTCGAGTGGCTCGAGCACGAACTCGAGTCGAGCTCGAGCCCAAATTTTACATTGTCGAGCGGCTCGAGATATATGGTAAATTACTAAAATACCCCTCCTATATATATATAATTTGACAAAATTATTTGAAAATTTTCGAACTGAACTCGAGCCGAGTCGAGCATTTTGAATTCGAGTCGAGCTCGAGCTCGTATTTTCTTATCAAGTCGAGCTCGAGCCTAAAAAATCGAGCTCGACGAGCTCGAGCAGCTCAAAAAAAAAAAAAAAAAAAAATCAATCTTGCTCGAGAAGACCAATGCTCTACTCGGCTCGGCTAGTTTGCTGCCCAGTCATCAATGACATGAGAAGGATGTGAACTAAATATTTGAGAAGGATGTGAACTAAATTTATCAAGACTTCATTATTACTTGTTCATATATCGATAATACATACAAAATATTTGTGTCGAGTTGGCTTCATATAGTTCAATATGAGGTTTGGGGCACAAATGGCGTACAAGTGTCCCAGATATTCGCACTTAATTATTGTTGGAAATCAATTGCAGTAACATAAAATCATACGTCGGCAAATCTCAATGTGACCGCATTTTTGACCGACTCATTATTAGGAAGAACAAAGACTATGTTTGGTAGCCAAAACTTGGCAAGACAATCAAAAGTTCCATTTTAGACTAAAAAATCACAAGTTTTGTTTTGGACAAAAAACAAACATAGGGCATATCATTGCAAACACAAGGTATTCTTGTTCCATATCCTCGAGGAGGAACTTCACTATTCACCATTACGCTATTTATCTCCTCATTGATGAAAAATATAAACCTTGTAGAGACGTACATGATGGAGGAGACAAACTCTTGGCCAACTCCAAAACTTGAATCAATTCGCATATTTGAGATGAAAACATGTAAATCTCGTCGGCTTCATTCTTTCTCGCCCAGTCGTCCAAAATCCTTCGTTTAACATCACACCACATAGAATATCAGTAATTTCATGTAATAAGCCAATATCCACAATAAGTAGCCATCTTATAATTGTACTAGTTCAATTACTTGCACTACTGAAGTTTAGTCATTTTTTTAGGGTAAATCATTTTTGCAACCAGTAATATACATGTTTTTGAACTTTACAACCTATAATATTTTTCTTTATAAAATGCATGCAACCCTGAATGTTCATAATTTGCAACCTCTAATGCATGCATCTTGACCATACAGTTACCACAAAGTTCAGGTTACATTTTATAAAGAAATGTATTATAGGTTACAAAGTCCAAAAACACGTATAGGTTGCATAAAAATGATCTAAACTTGTTTTTTTTTTTTAAAAAAAAATAAATCTAATTATTGTCCAGAATTATAAGTATCTTCGAAGTGTTAGATTGAAACAGACAAAACACATGTCCTCCTTATGACTTGAGAGAGTACAATTGGTAAAACAGACACAAAATACCTTAAGATGCTTGGGATTTCAAAAGATATTCAGCCTCTTTTGAACTTAGGCTTAACCTCCAGGTGGTTTTGTAATAAAACCCATAATTTTCCTACTCTGATTTGGAAGTAAGTTCTGGATTTCAACTATCCTTTTAACCAATTCACACAGGGTCACTAGAAACACCAAAAGCATTATTCTAAACCACAATACCATCTTCAAAATCAAACAGGCTTTAAAAGAAACCACTTTACCTCGAATCAAATCCCACACCATGACCAGATGCAGAAAATAACACTTTGATGCTGGGATGCATAATCAACTTGGATGCTTGTTTTTCAGGGTTCAAACTTCCAGCACAGCTCCATGTATTCGGATTCAAGAGAACAATTTGCAAAACAGGAGATTTAGTTTGTATGTCCCGAATTATAGTTCTGAACGATAATTCATCCTCTGCACTTTCCAACAATTGGCAAGCAAACATTCTCTCCAGAGTGTGATTCCTGTTTGGAAGAGAAATTAAATATATAATTTAATTTATCAACCCAAAGCCGAGATTTATTAAAAAAAAAAAAAAAAAAAAAA